TTTTTTAATTTTTTTTTTTTTAGGGGGGATGCTATGTTCTTGGGTGTAACTTTATTTTGTTGCAAACATTTTTTTACATTTTTTTTTTACTCCATGCACACTGGGAGGGAGGGGGGGGGGGCGTTTTTGATGTAAAGCGCGTTAAAAACCTGAGTTTATCAGCTTTTTTTAGTGTTTTTTGCATTAGCGTTTAGCGGGGTTTTGCCACGTTTAGTGGCATTTTTCTGCGTTTTAGATTTTAGCATTTTTTTTGTGTTTTTTTTTTTTACCAAATAGATAGATACTTATGATATCTCGCTTTAAATTTGCGCACGCTTGTGGAATGGCGACAAATGACGATTCATAAAAATCTCCATAGGTGATACTTTAAAATTTTTACAGGTTACTAGTTGGAAAGGAGGTCAGGTGGTGCAATTGCTGCTTCCGTCGTAACGTTTATACCTCACATGTGCGCTGCGAACACCATTTACGTATATGTGGGCGTGGCCAAGATATGCCTCCACCTCTGCGTGCAAGCATGGGGGGATGGGGCACTTTAAAATTTAAAAAAAATATTTATTTTTTAAAATGTTTCTCATTTTTACACTGGGACTTTTTTTTTTTTACTTGCCATCACAAGAAATGTAAACATCCCTTGTGAGAGCAATAAAGCATGACAGGTCCTCTTTATGGAGACATCTGGGGTCTAAAAGCCCCAAATCTCTCCTTTACCCCTGAAAGCATGAGATAAAAAAGACCCCATTGATCTCATGATTTCCAGACATAATGGATCTGTTTACATTACAAGAAATGATAACATTTTCATCGCTTCTGGTTTTGCACCATAAGTGTTAAAGCGCGCGACTGCGTCGTTTGAGGCATTTCGTGTGGTCGTTTTGCCAGGGTTGAAGCGGTCGCGTCTAATGCTACGTGTGGTTAGGGGTGCCAGGGAGTCAAGGGCAGCTAGCAGTGAGTCATTGTATGCAGTAGTGGCCAGGTCGGGGCATGACAGAGGGAGGATGCTGTCATACAGACGGTCAGCTGCCGGGATGGGTCGGGTTCAGATTGCGGAGGTTGCGGGTGATGGTTAGATGCTTCGGGGGGGGGGAGTTGAGGGAGGGGGAGAATTTGAGGAGGTGGTGGTCAGAGAGGGGGAAGGGGGTGTTAGTGAAGCTGTGGGGGGTGCAGAGGTGGGAGAAAACGAGATCCAGGGTGTTTCCGTTGGAGTGGGTGGAGGACTGTGTGTGCTGTGTGAGCGCGAAGGAGGAGGTTAGAAGGAGGAGTTGGGAAGTAGCCGGGCTGTTGGCGTTGATGGGGATATTGAAGTCGCCTAGGATGATGGTCGGTAGCTTGGAGGAGAGGAAGAAGGGAAGCCAGGGGGCAAAGTCCTCTAGGAAGGGGGATGCGGAACCAGGAGGCCAATAGATTACCGCAATCTGTAGGGGGGTGGGAGAGAAGAGCCGGATGCAGTGGGCCTCAAAGCAGGAGAAGGATAGGGAGGGGGGGTTAGGGAGAACCTGGAAGGTGCTCAGCGGGGGTAGGAGCATACCAACCCCTCCGCCTCTGCGCCTGCTCGGCATGGGTGAATGGGTCCAGACGAGGCCTCCATAGGAGAGGGCGGCAGGGGAGGTGGAGTCAGTGGCTTGGATCCAGGTTTTGGTGACCGCTAGGAGGTTGAGGGAGTGCGAGACAAAGAGGTCATGGATGGCGGTGAGCTTGTTGCACACGTTCAGGAGTGCAACCGAGAGAGGAGGGGTGGATGTGGGGAGGAGGGGGACAGATATGAGATTGAGGGGGTTGCGGTGGTTGTCGTGAGTAGGGGGGTGCCGGGAGGGGGAGTGGGGAGATGGGGGGCCAGGATTCGGGGAGATGTCACCGGCGGTTAGGGGAAGGAGGAGGGTGAGGAAGGTGGGAACGGGAGGTGCAGGAGCGTGTGGGTCTGATGGTGGTGGCATGTGGGTCGGCGGGGGGGGAGTGGAGTATCAGGAGGAGGTGGTGAGAGCCGTAGAGGGGGGAAGGAAGAAATGAGGGTGCGATGTAGAGCTGTTTTGGGGGAGTAGGGGGGTAGAGGGAGGCAAGTTTGGGGATGGAGGAGAGGAGAACGAGGAGGAGGAGTGCAGGTGGCATGCTAGGTTGGGCAGAATGCTGATCGGGTCGGAGAGGAAGGAGGTTTCAGTCAGGACGTGAGGATGGAGAGAGTCCGTTATGCCATGTCAGAGTTCATCAGTGTCTAATCGTAGGAGGGGAGAGGGAGTGGTGGGGCGGCTGGGGCCGCAGCTGGCTGGTTGCAGTCTGTGGGTGCTGTAGGCTAGCGTCCACGGGTGTTGTGGCACAGCGTCAGTGGGCACAGTGGTGCGGTGGCTGGACGAGCCGTGGGATGCAGTGATTGGAGGTGTTGTAGGCCCGACGTCAGGGGTGCTGGAGGCCCTGCGTCGGGAGGCGTTGAGTGCACAGCTTCGGGAGGTGGTGAGGGCCCGGCGTCAGGAGGTGTTGAGGGCCCGGCGATGGGAGGTGTTGAGGGCCCGGCGATGGGAGGTGTTGAGGGCCTGGCGTCAGGAGTAGCTGAGGACCCGGCATCAGGAGGTGCAGAGAACCCGGTGGCAGGAGGTGCTGAAGGCCCGGCGTCAGGAGGTGGAGTAGGTCGGCGTCAGGAGGTAGTGTAGGCCGATGTCCTGAATGGGCTAGGCGTTGATGGGCGCCTCCGTCAGGTGGAACGGCGCTCAGGGCTGTGCGGGGCAAGGGCACGGTTGAGTGGAGCGCGGTGTGGAGGAGATGTGGCAACGGTGGCTTCCCCAGTAGGGGCTGGTGGCGGCTTGCTCTCTTTGGGCCAGCGGGGGTGGTTGCTGTTTCCTTCAATCTGCGGGACCAGGAGCGGGAGATCGCGGCAGCGATCCTCAGCCCTTCGCGGTTCACGCTCCTCCATGGTCTGATGCGGCTGGTAGGAGAGGCCACGGCTTCAGGGGTCGTGGTAGGCCAGGAGTCGCCCGAGTTTCACCAGAGGGACAGCGCGCCGGAGGGTGGGGGTGGTGGGCTGGTGGTCCCTGGTTGGGTGGTGGGCTTGCGATCCCAGGTGGGATAGTAGCCTAGGGTCCTTGGTGGTTTGCAGTCCCTGGTGGGTAGTGGGTGCCCCTGTTTGAGCCCCTGGTGGGATGGTGGGCTTGCGATCCCCGGAGGGATAGTGGGGGGGTCCCAGATGGGATGGTGGGCTTGCGGTCCCCGGTGGGATAGTAGCCTGTGGTCCCTAATGGCTTGCAGTCTCTGGTGGGTAGTGGGTGCCCCTGTTTTGTGTCCCTGGTGGCTAGTGGTGTGATGGTGGCTGGGCCCCTGGTGGGTAGTGAGTGCCCCTGTTTGGGTCCTTGGTGGGATAGTGGCGGTCCCAGGTGGAATGGTGGGCTTGCGGTCCCCGGTGGGATAGTAGTCTAGGGTCCCTAGTGGCTTGCAGTCTCTGGTGGGTAGTGGGTGCCCCTGTTTTGTGTCCCTGGTGGCTAGTGGTATGATGGCGGCTGGGCCCCTGGTGGGTGCCCCTGATGGAGTACCTGGTGTCCTGGGATGTTGAGGTGGAAGCGGACCCCTCCCGGGTGTCTGTAGGACCGGTGGGGATGGTGGCAGCTTCCCCGAGGAGCGGAGGTGTCCCGCCGTGGCCGCGATTCCCGCCTCGATTCCGGCCACGGCCGGCAGGAAACACCCCCTTCAGGGTGTTGGTGGGGACCTCGGCCACGGGCTCAGGGGCCTGGATGGCGGCGGATGGCAGGGGATGGGGTGCAGGGCGCTGGAGCTGGTGGTCATGCGGCTGCTCCGGGTGCCATCTTGCCAGTTACCCTGTGCCTGTTACCGGGAACAGGGTGCAATGTTTTAATATTGGGGTGGGGGGTGTTTCATTGTTCTCTTGTGTGTCTTGCGTGGGAGCAAACTATTATGGGATATATGTGTTTGTACTGGCTTGGTGGGGGGGGGGGGTGTTTCCAGCAGCCCTTCCCCCGATGGGACTGCCTGCTGATGTGTTTCCTGTCTGGGTGTGTATTTCCCCGCCCTGTGTATATATCTTGTATCTATGTTAAAATAAAGCAGTCTATTTCCTGTTTTAATACAAGTCTGGTGCTGTCTCGTCCTGTTGGGTCAGCGGTGGTGTCCGTGGAACTGTGTTCCAGGGAAGTAGCTAGCGAAATACCCTAGTGCAATCGGGGTCTGCTTCCGTTACAATGGGGCAATATTTTCACTGACCCAACAATGGGGCACTATTCCTTCCACTGGCACTAATGAAGAGGCACTATTCCTCCCACTGACATGAAAGAAGGGGCAATGATGGGGCACAATTCCTCCCACTGACACCAATGATGGGGCACTATTCCTCCCACTGACATACTATTTTCCTCAATGACACCAACGACGGGCACTATTCCTCCCACTGACACCAATGATGGGGCACTATTCCTCCCACTGACACCAATGATGGGACACTATTCCTCCCACTGACACCAATGACGGGGCACTATTCCTCCCACTGATACCAATGATGGGGCACTATTCCTCCCACTGACACCAATGACGGGGCACTATTCCTCCCACTGACACCAATGACGGGGCACTATTCCTCCCACTGACACCAATGACGGGGCACTATTCCTCCCACTGACACCAATGATGGGGCACTATTCCTCCCACTGACACCAATGATGGGGCACTATTCCTCCCACTGACACCAATGATGGGGCACTATTCCTCCCACTGACACCAATGATGGGGCACTATTCCTCCCACTGACACCAATGATGAGGTTCCCAAAAAAACTCTGTGGCTGCAATGTTATGCACATGTCTATCAGAGCTCAGTTTGTGACTCCCCCACACCACCCTATTGGTCCCCCATTACCGGCTGGTATCTCTCACTCATTAACACAAAGGCAATCCAGGGAAAACAACAACACAGAAATTGTTCAGCACATCCCCTTTATTCTCAGCAGGATGGTTTCATTTTGTTCAGCACTTTATATCTGCTTCATCCGATTACTTCCCCGACCACTTGGGGTCCATGAATCGGCCAATCCCGAGGATGGTTTTGGTGACTTTGTGGTACATCATCATGATGAACGGGCGGTTAACACTGAACTGGGGGACCTGAGGGGAGACTAAGTTTAATATGCCAGAAGTCGCAGCGTCGTCCGCTGTTCCTCCCTCCTCCAAGGTGATATAAGATCGGTGGAAAACCTGTCAACACAAAAAGTCAAGGAATGAACTTATAAAAGTTAAGAGAATGAAAAATTAAAAAAACAAACCTAACAAAAAAAAAAAGATTTGGGGACTAAGATAAATGAAACATACTAGGAGAGTGGACTTCTGTTAGGAAGAGAGATTGGGGGGGGGGGGATGTGTGCTAGTAGGGGTGATTGAAGGGATTTGTGCGAGGAGAATTTATTTTTTTGGAGGGGGGGTTATTGCTAGCAGAGGGGATTTGGGGGGAGGAGATCTCTGCTGAGAGAGTGGATTTCTGTTAGGTAGAGGGATTGGGGGGATTTGTGCTAGGGGGAAAACATTTTTTGGGGGGGTTTAGTGCTAGCAGAGGGGATTTGGGGGGGATTTGTAGTAGAAGGGGGGAATTGGAGGAGGAATTTGTACTAGGAGAATGGATGTCTGTTAGGAAGAGGGATTTGAGGGGGGGGGGGGGATGTGTGCCAGCAGGGATGGTTGAAGGGATTTGTGCTAGAGGGGGGAATTTTCTTGGGGTGTGTGTGTGTAGTGGGTAGCAGATGGTATTTGGGAAGGATTTGTGCTGAGAAAAAAGGATTGGGGGGGGGATTTGTACTAGGACAATAGATTTCTGGTAGGAAGAGTGATTGGGGGGAGGATTTGTGCTAATAGGGGTGATTGAAGGGATTTGTGCTAGGAGGGGATTTTTTTTTTTTTTGGGGGGGGGGTTTAATGCTAGCACAGGGGAATTGGGTGGGATTGGTGCTGAGGGAGGGGGTTTGGGAGGATTTGTACTAGAAGGGGTGATTTGGAGAAGGGATTTGTACTAGGAGAGTGGATTTCTGTTTGGAAGAGGAACTTGGGAGGGGATTTGTGCTAGTAGGGGTGATTGAAGGGATTTGTGCTAGGAGTGGAAATTTGGGGAGGGGGGTGTAGTGCTAGCAGAGGGGATTGGGGGAGGGGAATTTGTGCTGAGAGAAGGGGATTTGGGAGGATTTGCACTAGACGGGGTGATTATGAAGAGGGATTTATACTAGGAGAGTGGATTTCTGTTAGGAAGAGGGATTTGGGAGGGGGAGGAAATTTGTGCTAGTGGGGGTGATTGAAGGGATTCGTGCGAGGAGAGGAAATTTGGGGAGGGGGAAGGATTAGTGCTAGCAGAGGGGATGGGGGGGGTGATTTGTGCTGAGGGAGGGGGATTTGGAGGGGATTTGTACTAGAAAGGGAAATTTGTAGGGGGGATTTTTACTAGGAGAGTGGATTTCTGTTATGAAGAGGGATCTGGGAGGGGATTTGTGCTACTAGGGGTGATTGAAGGGATTTGTGCCAGAAGGGGAACATTTTTTTTTTGGGGGGGGAATTAGTGCTGCAGCAGGGGATTTGGAGGGATTTGTACTAGGAGAGTAAATTACTGTTAGGAAGAAGGATTTGGGGGGTGGAAGGTTTTGTGGGTGTGGGTGTGTGTGTGGGTGAGCAGAGAAGGGTGTGGAGATGAGCAGAGAGGGGGGTTGGGGGGTGTGGAGGTGAGCAGAGAGGGGTGTGGGGGTGAGCAGAGAGGGGTGTTTGAGGTGTGGAGGTGAGCAGAGAGGGGTTTTGGGGTGTGGAGGTGAGCAGAGGGGACCAGCTGCCCGAGTGCTCTATCATCTATGGGCCGTACACAAGGACTTGCAGCTTTTATGCCCCATCATTGGTATCCCACTAACACCAATGATGGGGCACTATTCCTCCCACTGACACCAATGATGGGGCACTATTCCTCCCACTGACACCAATGATGGGGCACTATTCCTCCCACTGACACCAATGATGGGGCACTATTCCTCCCACTGATACCAATGATGGGGTACTATTCCTCCCACTGACACCAATGATGGGGCACTATTCCTCCCACTGACACCAATTATGGGGCACTATTCCTCCCACTGACACCAATGATGGGGCACTATTCCTCCCACTGACACCAATGATGAGGCATTATTCCTCCCACTGACACCAATGATGGGGCACTATTCCTCCCACTGATACCAATGATGGGGCACTATTCCTCCCACTGACACCAATGATGGGGCACTATTCCTCCCACTGATACCAATGATGGGGCACTATTCCTCCCACTGACACCAATGATGGGGCACTATTCCTCCCACTGACACCAATGATGGGGCACTATTCCTCCCACTGACACCAATGATGGGGCACTATTCCTCCCACTGACACCAATGACGGGGCACTATTCCTCCCACTGACACCAATGACGGGGCACTATTCCTCCCACTGACACCAATGACGGGGCACTATTCCTCCCTCTGACACCAATGATGGTGCACTATTCCTCCCACTAACACATGTGAAGAGGCACTATTCTCCCACTGACCACAATCCGGCCCCCTTGAAGCCTGAAGTCCAGTAAACTGGCCCTTTGAAAGACAAGTCTGGAGCCCCCCCCCCCCCGCTCTATAGGGATGGCGCCTGTTATAGGATTACCATACTTCATCCACATATTAAATATAAAAGGAAGATACTCACTGAGGAAACGCTGAACTTCTCTTTCTTTGAGATCCCGGAGAAGTCGGCGCTGTTCTCATCGCACATATTCCCGAAGCCCATGCGTCGCAATGCGCGATCCACGTTCATCGGGGTGTTGAAGGTAATTTTGGGTAAGAAGAGTTCCACCAAACTGTGAAGGAAAATACACATCGGTGTCTGTATCAGCGATACCAACCATCCCCCGCTCTCCCAATGAGGCAAAAAAAAGTGTTTCAAAGCTACAGCGACCCCATCAGCCAATCAGAATGAGCCATCTGACCCCATCAGCCAATCAGAATGAGCCGATCTGATCTGATTCTAAGGTTTAAAGTTGAATTGAAGGAAACCAGAGATACGGCGCCTTGAAGAAGTCTTCCTCTTCCTTGACATTTTTACATTTTGTCATGTGACAACCAAAAACGTCAATCCATTTTATTGGGATTTTATGTGATAGACCGACACAGAGTGGCACATCATTGTGAAGTGGAAGGAAAACCTAACCCTGCTTTAAACTTCTTCACAACTTTATCCCTGACCTGTCTGGTGTGTTCTTTGGCCTTCATAATGCTGTTCCTTCACTAATGTTCTCTAACAAACCTCTGAGGGCTTCACAGAACAGCTGTATTTATACTGAGATCACATGGCACACAGGGGGACTCTATGTACTAATAGGGAAATTCTGAAGGCAATTGGTTCCACTAGATTCTAGTTAGGGGTATCAGAGTAAAGGGGCTTTCTCTTTCAACGATGGCTTTCTTCCATAAAGGCCAGATTTGTGGAGTGCATGACTAATAGTTGTCCTGAGGACAGATTCTCCCCCCTGAGCTGTGATCTCTGCAGCTCCTCCGGAGTTCCCATGGGCCTCTTGGCTCCCCCCCCCCCCCCCCCCCCCCCCCCCCCCCCCCCCCCCCCCCCCCCCCCCCCCCCCCCCGCTTCTCTGATGAACGCTCTCCTTGCCCGGCCTGTCAGTTTAGGTGGACGGCCATGTCTTGGTAGGTTGGCAGTTGTGCCGTACTCCTTCCATTTTCAGATGATGGATTGAACACAGTGCTCCGTGAGATGCCCAAAGTTTGGGAATTTTTTTAATAACCAAACCCTGTATTCGACTTCTCCACAACTTTATCCCTGACCTGTCTGGTGTGTTCCTTGGCCTTCGTGATGCTGTTTGTTCACTAATGTTCTCTAACAAACCTCTGAGGGCTTCACAGAACAGCTGGATTTATACTGAGATCACATGACACACAGGGGGACTCTGTTTATTAGGTGAATTCTGAAGGCAATTGGTTCCACTAGATTTTAGTTAGGGGTATCAGAGTAAATGGAGCTGAATACAAATGCCTATCTCTATAACTACCACCTCCTTAAATATAGTAAGTGACAAAACTTAATACCCCCTAGCACAAATAAAAAACCTTCACCCTTGAAGATATAAATAATAATATAAAAAATGTGCTAAAAATTACATAAATAAATACTTGTACAATTCACCTCATGAAATAACTATATATCAATATTTCAAAGAAAATACTTCAAAAAAGAAAAAAAGTCCCAAAAAAAGTCCAAACAAAAGTAATATAAGTCCAAATAAAATCCAAAAAAATCAGTGGGAGATCCTTTACAATCCCTCCTTTCTCACGATAAACCTCAAACAAAAGAAAATATCACATAGTGCATTATCTTTTTAATAATAATAAAATATTCGTGACAACACTCTGGTGATTATCCAATATAAAATATATATTATTTTTTATTTTTTATAAAGTAATTAGTGTAAAAAGTGAACCAAGTGCATTAATTTAATTAATTAAAAAAATATAAAAAATATAAATAAATATAAATTAATTAGTGCAACACACTGTGTACTGTGAATCACTCTTCCAGTGCTCCAAAAGCAAATCCACACTGTGCCACTTCTATAAAGTAGGGATATAACCCTTACCAACACTCCTCCAAAAAGAGCTTTCAATAATTATCCTATGGATGAGATCCTCCTAAGGGGCTCCCCCAGATTTCACTGTATTCAGGGCACTATTCCAGCAGGATTTTCCATGTCTCCATATCCATTGCACCATATAGATAGAAAGCGGGGTCATATGAGGGACAAATAGTGTGATATCGCCAAAGTAAAGTACAGAGAAACTTTATTGAAACTGCTCACATTTTAAAAGATTTAAAAACCGCTTAAATACCGTAGAAAAAACCGCCCAGCAACCATCCAGGGAACATCCAGGAACCAACACACAGTCTTTTTCCTCTATTCCCTCTTGCAAAATGGCCGCCAGTCGACTTCCAGTTCCGGTATGCGTCCTGACGTCACAACCCCTAAGGGCTGGTGCAATGGATATGGAGACATGGAAAATCCTGCTGGAATAGTGCCCTGAATACAGTGAAATCTGGGGGAGCCCCTTAGGAGGATCTCATCCATAGGATAATTATTGAAAGCAGGTTTTTGGAGGAGTGTTGGTAAGGGTATATATTCCCTACTTTATAGAAGTGGCACAGTGTGGATTTGCTTTTGGAGCACTGGAAGAGTGATTCACAGTACACAGTGTGTTGCACTAATTAATTTATATTTATTTATATTTTTTATATTTTTTAATTAATTAAATTAATGCACTTGGTTCACTTTTTACACTAATTAATTTATAAAAAAAAAAAAAATAATATATATTTTATATTGGATAATCACCAGAGTGTTGTCACGAATATTTTATTATTATTAAAAAAGATAATGCACTATGTGATATTTTCTTTTGTTTGAGGTTTATCGTGAGAAAGGAGGGATTGTAAAGGATCTCCCACTGATTTTTTTGGATTTTATTTGGACTTATATTACTTTTGTTTGGACTTTTTTTGGGACTTTTTTTCTTTTTTGAAGTATTTTCTTTGAAATGTGAATACAAATGCCGCCACACTTCTCACAGATTTATTGGTCACAAATGTTCGAAACAATTTCTCATTTTCCTTCCACTTCACAATTATGTGCCACTTTGTGTCCATCACATCCAATCCCAATAAATACATTGTAACATGACAACATCCGGGGGGGTCCGAGGAGAGCGGGATACAGTGAATGCGCGGTCCGAGGAGAGCGATACAGTGAATGCGGGGTCCGGGGAGAGCGGATACAGTGAATGCGGGGTCCGGGGAGAGCAGATACAGTGTATGCGGGGTCCGGGGAGAGCGGATATAGTGAATGCGGGGTCCCGGGAGAGCGGATATAGTGAATGCGGGGTCCCGGGAGAGAGGATATAGTGAATGCGGGGTCCCGGGAGAGCGGATATAGTGAATGCGGGGTCCGGGGAGAGCGGATATAGTGAATGCGGGGTCCGGGGGGAGAGCGGATATAGTGAATGCGGGGGCCGGGGGGAGCGGATATAGTGAATGCGGGGTCCCGGGAGAGCGGATATAGTGAATGCGGGGTCCGGGGAGAGCGGATATAGTAGTGAATGCCGGGTCCGGGGAGAGCGGATATAGTGAATGCCGGGTCCGGGGAGAGCGGATACAGTGAATGCGTGGTCCCGGGAGAGCGGATATAGTGAATGCGGGGTCCGGGGAGAACGGATATAGTGAATGCGGGGTCCGGGGAGAGCGGATATAGTGAATGCGGGGTCCGGGGAGAGCGGATATAGTGAATGCGGGGTCCGGGGAGAACGGATACAGTGAATGCGGGGTCCTGGTAGAGCGGATATAGTGAATGTGGGGTCCGGGGAGAGCGGATATAGTGAATGCAGGGTCCGGGGAGAACGGATACAGTGAATGCGGGGTCCCGGGAGAGCGGATACAGTGAATGCGGGGTCCCGGGAGAGCGGATACAGTGAATGCGGGGTCCCGGGAGAGCGGATACAGTGAATGCCGGGTCCGGGGAGAGCGGATACAGTGAATGCCGGGTCCGGGGAGAGCGGATATAGTGAATGTGGGGTCCGGGGAGAGCGGATATAGTGAATGTGGGGTCCGGGGTAAAAGGTAGAGCGGATATAGTGAATGCCGGGTCCGGGGAGAGCGGATATAGCGAATGTGGGGTCCGGGGTTTGTTCCATACAAATCAGTTGCTGTCCTGCCCCCTACAGGCCATAGTGGGTATACCCCATCACCATCCTGCTGGCGTTGTCAGTTGAACCTGCGTTCACCCAGCAGACATCAGGCTGCACGTTGCACTTTGTACGATCATTTGGCTGATCCCTCTAACAACATTCAAACTGCTGAGTTTGTGTTGTAAACAACTGTCATGCATACCTGGTACTCAAGGAGCTCAAGTATTTTTGAATCAGCTGGGGGGTCAGTAATCGCTCCACGTGGTGCAGGTCACCCAGTCTCGGTATGATGAGGAGAAGGGTGGTGTTCTCGGCGTACGGCATCTCCAGCACATTGATATCCATCTCTCTGTCCTTGTACGTCTTATAGAGTCCCCTCCGGCGCATCGTTGGCGTTAGGGTTGGTGGCAATCCACTCACAAATTCTTTTTCCTCTGTATTTTGTTCGTCAAACTGTCCTTTCCATTTCCCTGGAGGAACAGAAAAAAAATGTTTCCTTTAAAGGTAAACTATAGTGGTTTGGGATCGTTGTATTCTATAGACATGCGCGGTTCGGTTTGATCCGAATAGAAATATGGACAAAATTGTCATTATTCCGGGATTGAGAGGTATCTGAATTTCCAAACTACAAAAGTGGCAAATTATAAAAAATCAGAAATAACAAAAAGGAAGTTTTGTCAAAAACTTGAATTGAATTCCAAAAGAATTCAGAATTGATTTAAAAAAGAATTTGAAATCAAATTCGGAAAAACAAATTTGAACTGTGAACATATTGCAGACTATTGCTGATTTCCCTCAAGACTGTGTTAGTGTTAGAATATATCCATCTTCCGAAATTCCAAATAGAATAGAATAAAATAGAAATAATATAACTGTCATGTAAAATTTGAGTTTTAAATAGAATAGAATAAAAAAAAAAAAAAATATATAGCTATCTTCCGAAATTCGAATTTTGAAAAGAACAGAATAAAAACAGAATAGAATTGAAAATAAAATAAAAGAATAGAAAATAAAGGAATAGATAGAATAGAAAATAATAGCATAGAAGAAAATAGAATAGAAAAGATATAACTGTCTTCTGAAATT